TCGCGGCAATTTTTTTGTAAAGTATACACGACGCATATATTTGGAGTTAATCACAACTTGCCAGTGTGCCACAGGTCCCCAGATATATACTATATAAAGCAATATCCATATACTTTGCCGCACTCATTACCCGATATCCCAAAACGGGTGCTCGTAATGACTGCGGATGGCGCCGCTCACAACAGAACTCCAATACAGATGTCACCAGCACCACGATTCCATGTTAGTGTAAATTAGGGATGCACCGATACAAGAGGTGCACCGAAATGAAGATTTCAAAAACGAAACCGAAATTTAAAAAAATGTCAGACCGAAACTGAAGATGTTTTTTATTTTACCTTTTTCACATTTTTTTCAAATATTTTTTTTAATAAACTTTTATATTTTTCGTCCGCCGCGGCGCCGCCACTCACAGCCAGCTGTCAGGTGAGCAAGTCTGCGGCTTGAATCCTGTGCCCGGGTCTGCAAAAGGAGTGTACCCGGGCACAGGATTCCAAAACCGGACTGTCCGGGTCATTCCCGTACGGGTGGCAACCCTAGTCCAGGGATCTTCTCTGCCCGATCCAGGAATCTTTCCAACCAATCCAGGCATCTTTCCTACCAAATCCAAGAATCTTTCTTCCCCAATCCAAGGAACTTTCCTCCCTGATTCAACAATCTTTCCTCCCCAGTCCAGGAATCTTTCTTACTAAATCCAGGGATCTTTCCTCCCCAGTCCAGGAATCTTTCTTACTAAATTAAGGGATCTTTCCTAGCCAGTCCAGGGGTCTTTTTTCCCTGATCCAGCAATCTTTCTGCTCCAATCCAAAGATCATTCTTCCCTGGTCCAGGAATCTTTCTTCCCTGATCCAGGAATCTTTTCACTCCATTCCTCATCAATCCTCCACAATCATTCCTCCCCAATTCAGGAATCTTTCCTACCCAGTACAGGGATTTTCCCTCTACGATCATGGGATCTTTCCTACCCAATCATCCAGGGATCTCTCCTCCCCCGATACAAGGATCTTCCTCTTCACAATGCACATGCGTGCATGCCATGGGCCCATTCATTCCTATGGTTAAGCCATAATCCAAATGAGTGCTGGGAGCCACCATGAGTACACCTACACATTGGAATGAATTGGGCCACGGTAAACATGTGCAGTATGAAAAAAAGGGACCTGGTCAGAGAAAAGATTGTTGGATTTGGGAGGAAGGTCAGCATTACCGCTGGTGAACTGTATTCAGGGGGTAGGGATTCATTAAATGACAACTGTACTAAAGTACAAGTTATTCTTTAACATTTGGGGATTAGGGTTGGCTATAAAAGGGAAATCATAAGTATTATGCTGGCCATGCACATTACAATATGGCTGTACAATCTCTATATAGTCATTTAATGGTGGTCACTCACATCAACATGATCATGAGACTGATCAATCTATGTGACCAAACAGATTGAATCCCAAACTGAATGTATAAAATGCACCGCCTGACTTATAGCAAAAAATAAAAATCAAACATTTTCAACAGAGACACATCAATTGCCTGATCTGGTAATGTATTGATCATTTCTTATTGATCGTATGTAGAGTAAATGCAAAATATCAGAGAATCCATCATAGATGCCAATCGATAACTCAGAAATAATAAGAAATAAGTCTGATAGTAAAAAACTGATCAATAGCGAAGGGAGTATTCCTGTGTGCTGAGTCGTTTGATAAGTCAGTTGATGAGGAATCCATCTTTTGCGATGGCGCACAAATCACACCGTATATGATGGGCACTGGAGGTACCAAAACTGTGTAATATGAGGGCCTACCTAAACAGTCCATTCTATGCATTCTATGAGATTGGCCCTTATTGGCCCTTATTCAAACATGTTCACATTGGAGGTGAGGAGATTAAGGGGGGATATGATCTCCATGTACAAAATGTTCAATGGTGGCAGCAACATTAGCGATAAACTGTTTAAAATTAACTCCATTACAAAAACTAGAGGTCACCACCTAAAATTGGTGGAAAAAAAATTCCAGCACAAGGGGCGAAGGGGGTTCTTCACAGTAAGATCAGTTAGGGTCTGGAACTCACTGCCACAGACAGTGATTTCAGCAAAGAATGTGGAATTGTTCAAGAAACTTTTGGACGATTTCTTAAGGGACCGTAATATACAGGGGTACAGGTACTCCTAGAATGAGATCCTAATAGGTTGGACTTGATGGACTAATGTCTTTATTCAACCTCAAATACTATGTAACTATGTAACTACAGTGTTGTTGGTAGCTCTATAGGAGACTGTACAGCCATAATGTAAGGTGCATGGTCAGTGTTAGGGTTGGGTGACGGATGGGGGGGATGTGGGTTCTTGTACAGAAATGTACGTGATTCGCTCCCACACTATGCATATAATATGTCTTTGTGGTTAAAAGGCAGACCAAGGTCTCGGAGCCTTACAAATTGCAGATTCTGAACTTGCCTTTTTTTTGCTATGCAGCACTGATAGGCTGATAACAACATGTGCGTTATTTTAGAAACATTTCCTTTAGATGCATGACAGCTGCTAATGTGGCTTGTTGCTTGGAGATGCCCTTTAAGCAAATCGGGAAGAAAGAGCTGAGTGTCCATTTTACACATTAACAGAAATTCGATAGACAGCACGGGACTGACTGAGCAAATCTCAGCTGACACATGCATAATTCAGAGAGTCCTTAATTAATCTGCATTGAAACGCTGCTGATGTACCCCCCACTGAACGTGATAGGAAGTCATCTCTGCTGTGCAATTATCTGATAACTCACCACCTGACTACATGATGAGAAGACAGTGTAAAGAGTGCTGAGGTGTTGATCTGTTTATTGCAATCAATCAAAATTCAGCAGACCAATAAAAATGATTTGTGGTCATGGGCCAGTGAACTTCCAATTTTCCACTTTCCCTTTTCAAAGGTGATAAATCTTAAACAAACTACCCCTGCAGTGGGACACCCCCTGCACTGCAAGGGTTTAATGCTCACTTTTGCCTTGAGACCCTTAAAAAAGGACTTTTACTTACCTTATCCCTCACTCCACCAATATCTGGTACTCACCTCTACTCTCTGACGCTCTGGGTTTTGGACGGGCCCTCTGTGTCCTCACTCACAATGCAGGGCTGATCACTTACATTGCAAGACTAAGCAAAAACTAGCATTTACCCAGAGCTATCCTTATAATGAGGCAGCCTGTCGCCTCAGGCGGCATCTCATTGGCGGGGGGGACAGCCGGTGAGG